CAGGCGGAGAGCGCTCAGCTCAGCTCGGTGGCTTCCTAGCCTGTCCTTCCTTCTGCCTTTATCCCCCGTGGAGAGTAGGTTTTCTGAAAGGTGTCCTTCACTCTCGTCCGCACCCCGGAGTTCTCAAGGGCGCGAGGTCCTGTTTTCCCTCCCCCGCCCCCAGGGAGAGTGGGCATCCCTTTATCTCCTGTCGCAGGGAGTCTCCTGTGCTCAGCGGGGAAAGCGGGTCCGCTTCAGAGAGCATCCCTCAACCCCGCAACCCCAGGAGATGGGCGGATTCGCAGAGAGCTTGAGATGCTCCAGGGTCATCCGTGAAGAATACGAGCCCGCGTTCCCTAGGGTGCGAAGGGTTACAGAGACGGAAAGGGGCCAGGCCTGGAAAAGGACAAAGCGCCGAGAATTAGCAGGGTTCATCTCTAGGCCTCTAACGATGGTGCATGCCAGGACTGCAGGCTGGTAGAAGGGAGGGTACAGGCTTTGGTTTATTCAAACAAAACAACAACAACACATTAGATTTTAAAACGTTTCAAAAACGGGTTTTTAGCCCGGAGGTTTCATCTGCAATGAAACTGGATTGATTTTGGACTCTTTAGTGACTTCTTTCCCCCCGCCCCACCCCCACCCCCCGCCCCCCCCCCGCCCCCGCGCGCCCTTTGTTGAAGCGGGCTGTTCCCCACAGTCCCCATCATTTTTCAGTCACAGTTCTTAACTCAGTTATGTCGTCTCTCTGGCCCTTGTATTCATTAGAGCTTCCGTTCTGAATTAGACAGGAGAGACCTTTTTCTGTGGAGGTTAGTCTTTGAGCCAAAGATTCAATTCCACGAATGAGATAGAAGAGCCCTGCTGGCCGAACTGACTTCCCTCATCTCACAGTAAGGACAAAGAGTCTGAAACTGAGGCATAGATTGCCTCAGTTAACCTTTCAGGCTATGGCACCACTCAGGGGGAGTGTAAAAGCTTTCTGTTTTGTAGTTCAGAATTCCAAACTTTTGTTTGTTTGTTTGTTTGAGAGAGATTTCTCATTTTGCTCCTCCTGGAGCTCACGTTTGTCTGGCACTTACTCTACAGTTGAAGCTGACCTTGAACTCACATTCCTCCTGCCTCTGCCTCCCAGATGCAGCAGCTTTCAGTGTAGCCCACCACAATGGGCTCTTACGACCTGTTTTTGATCATGGAGCTGTAGAACAAGGTTTGTTTTACTTTGTGGGAGGGACGTACTATTTGAACGGGACTTTCGAGGCAAGAGAACGAGTATTTTTTGAGACTGCATAGTACGTCCCTTGGCTTTATGCCACGGCTTCCTGTTTCCTTATCATTCACCAAAGGCCTGAGCTAAAAACAGTTCTGGGGTCTTGGGCTCTAAAGACTCTGGAAGTGAATGCTGGAAGAGTTCGAACCCTGGTGAGTCATTGTGCCAGCCTTGTGTGCAGGTTTCTTTCCTCTGGCCATTTTTTCAAGATGGCTGTCATTCCTGTTTTATGGGTAACACAGGCTCAGGAACAGCAGCACATTGGCCCAAGGCCACCAATAAGCAAAGCCATGTTCTTTTCTCAGTACCTAATTCCTCTTAGTGCAATGAGACTCTTGTCACTTGTCAGACAGGATAGGGCTAAGTGGGCTTCAGTGAATTTTGGCCAATAACAAATGGTCAGGTTTAAAACTGGAAAGAATGATGGACTCAGAGTCAGAGAGAATGGGTTTGAATTTTGGCCCTTTCACTAACTGTTTAAGAATCACAGCCCCTGCCTCTCCGGGGTGGTGGGAGGTTGACTTAATGCTCATGGTTGCACTTTTTAGTCTGCTTCTGGATAAGGAGTTCCTTGTTATCAGCATTTAAAAAATATGTATGTGTATGCACGTGTACCACTCATGTTCCTGTATATATATATGTATATTTGTGATATAGATAGTTGTGAGCCACCATATGGGAGCTGGGAATTGAACCAGGGTCCTCTGGAAGAGCAGCCAGTCCTCTTAACTACTGAGCCATCTCTCCAGCCTCATCATCATTTTTTTCCCAGGTAGGATACTGCTTCACGTCCACCACAAACGGCATGCGCAGGATTTGAAGATTGCAGGAAACCACCACATTTCACACAGGCTCCTAGGTGCTCTGTGGGAGAGGACACAGTCAGCCCTGATTGTGGTACCAGCCTGGCTTGCACGACTGCAGAAAATGGAAGCATAGTTAGAGCTTCTTTTGCACTCTAGACTCAGTCCCACTTTATTCATGTTTCTTGAGACTACTAGAACCATCTGATATTCTGGTTGGAACTCTACTTTACTTTTCCTTTCCATCCTTCAATAAAAATAGTACACCCAAAGACACTGATGCACATAGAACAGAAGAAAAGTGAAGCAAAGGACTTAAAACCCAGCAACGGGCAGTGCTCTTGAGGAATTTAGTGTGGGCTATGTTTTACACTTTATCAACACTTACTTAAACTTCCCCCTGGATCTTCTGCCTCCCTTTCTGGGCATCTGGCTCTAGCCCAGGGCTTTGGCTTTAATAATGTTAACACAGGACTATCTTGTGGGAAGTTATCTTGGCCACTTCCAAGCATAGCTCCTTCCAGCTGGCCACTCCTGAGGGAGTGCCAGGGCCGTGCCTTCCTCTTGTCAGCACTCAGGCCTATGGAGCTGTGGGTCATTGTACCTACTTCTCTCTCATGCCACATCCTCCACAGTGTCTGCAGCTTTTGGCAGGATGACTGTTCTCCTTGGCTTCTGTTAGTATTCGGGCATCTGTACTGGTCTGTCCTTGGGACACCCTCAGCTGCAGCTACTAAGAGCACCACCAGTGTTCCCCTTTAAAGGGCCCTGTCCACCTCCCATCCTCCCCTTCCTTCCTTCCTTCCTTCCTTCCTTCCTTCCTTCCTTTCCCTCTCTCTGTTTCTCTGTCTTTCTCTGCCTCTCTTTTCTCCTATTGCTCCTGTCCCTAGAGGCCAGCCCCCCTTTCCCTAATTAAAACCCCCCTCCACCTGAACTCAGTCTCATTGCATCTTTCTCTCTTGCACTGCCTTCCTTAAATTACCACAGCTTCGATTCTCAGACTCCTGTTCTGCCCCACGAGCTCTGTTTTTTACATAGTAGGTTTTGCAGGGTCTGGTAGCCCCTTGGTAAAGATGTTTTGCTGAGAGATCTACTTTTGTGTCATGGTTCTTCCTAGCCATGTGACCTTGAACATAACACTACTATGTGTTAAACTTTATTCATTTACAAAACTATCCAGTGAGTCATCTCCAAACCTAGCTGATCTTTAGAATTACCTAAAAAATATAAGATCCTCAGGCTTCACACAAAGTGGTTTTCACTACCTCTCAAGAGGTTGCTGTGTGGTTAAGTTGAGATTCTGTGTGCATCTCGAGGCTTGCTGTGTTGATGATAGACACTGAGGTCAGAAGTGTCAACTCCATTCATTCGGCAAATAGTCACTGAATGCTTACTATGTGCCAGGCACTGGAGCAGGTGTGTAAGGGGGTAGGGTGGGGAGGATGTAACCAGTGGCCTTACCTGTTATGATGAGTTGTAACTCTCCATTTTGTTTTTCAGTGGCCTTTGGTATGGTACCTCACGAACATTGCTGGTCACTGTGTATCTAGAGTGAGCTTGTGTAGGCTACACATACACGGATTCTCAGCTGTTCTGGAGGCTAAGGCAGAGGAATCACTTGGGTTTAGGAGTCAGAGCTAGCCAGAGTGGTACTGTGAGATCCTTTTTTAAAATGTTAATAAGCAGAGCATGGTGGTATATGCCTACAATCCTAACACGTAGGAGACTAAGGCTCGAAGATTCCTAGTTCAGTGAACTTGGGTTATATGGCAGGTTCAAGGCCAGCATGGACTATGTATGGAAATCTTGTCTCAAACAACCATAAATAAATAAATAATCTCCCTCTGGGGTCACCGTTCTCAGTCTTTGATCTTTACTTAGACTATCTCTGTCCCTCAGTTTATGTGATTCTCCTGGAATTTCTTCCCAAGCTCCTACTATCAATGACTGCAATACATTTTTTGACTACTGTTGTCTTATTTTGAAACAGGGTTTCTCTGTGTAGCTCTGGCTGTCCGGGAACTCACTCTGTAGACAGCTAGTTTTGAACTCAAAGAGATCTTCTTGCCTCTGCCTTCCAAGTGCTGGGGTTAAAGGCATGTGCCACCATGCCCAGCTGAAGTACATTTTTTTTAATGTTAAGATTTTATTTACAAACCTTTTCATTGTTTTGTGCAGAAAGTTAGAAAAAAGTTAAAATCTTAGTGTAACTGGTAGCCATGGATGGTTGACTCACCAATCAAGCTGTCCATAGTAGAGCAAGAGTAGAGGAAACTCTTATTTTTTAATGAATTTAATTTATTATTATTATTGTTGTTGTTAGTCTTAGAATTTCAATTGTTATGAAGAAACAGCACAATCATGACAGCTTATTAAAAATATTTAATTGTGGTGGCTCGCTTACAGTTCAGAGGTTTAGTCCATTATCGTCATGGCAGAGTGATCATAGAAGCATGGTGGTATGCAGGCAAACCGTGCTGGAGCAGGAGCTAGGAGTTCTACATCTTGACTCAGAGGCAGCAGGAAGTGGTCTGCCTCACTGGGCATGGCTTGAGCATATATGAGACCTCAAAGCCCGCCTCCACAGTGACAAACTTCCCTCAACAAGACCACTCGTACTCTGACAAGGCCATATTCCTAATGGTGCCACTCCATTTGGGAGCCATTTTCTTTCAAATCCACTCCCTGGCCCCCAAAGGTTTATAAAGCAATATCATAATGCAAAAATGTATTCAGCTCAACTTCAAAAGTTCCCATAGTATATCACAGTCTCAACAAGGTTTAAGAGTCCTAAATTCAAAGTCTCTTGGGATTCACACAGTCTCTTAACTACAAGTCCCTGTAAAATCAAAATCAAATAAACAGATCATATATTCCAATATATAATGATGCAGGATATGCATTACTATCCCAAAACATAGGGAAGGGGGCATAATGAGGAAATACTGGACTCAAAGCAAGACTGAAAACCAGCTGGGCAAACTCCAAACTCTGCATCTCCATGTGTGATGTCAAAATGCTCCTCAGATCTCCAACTCTGTTCAGTTTGTTGACTGCAACACATTTCTTTCTCTTGGGCTGATTCCACTCCCTGTGGCTTTCCTCGGCAGATATCCTATGGCTCTGTCATGTATAACATCTTGGGGTCTCCAAGGCAATCCAGGCTTCAACTTCACAGTTTTACACAGTGGCCTTTCTAGTCCTCCATTCAGGGACCCCCCTGACACATGCCTAGCCTCAGTGACTTTCCTTAGTCATGGAGACAAATTCCATAACCTGTTTCTTCTATCCTTGACTCTAAAGCCAGAACCATGTGGCTGAGGCTACCAAGTTCTGCTGCTTGCTGGGGCTGGAACATGGCC